GTGTTCTATTATTTTAGCTTGTGTTCTGTTATTCTAGCTTGTGTTCTTTTATTTTAGCTTGCATTCTTTTATTTTAGCTTGTGTTTTATTAATTAGCTTGTGTTCTGTTATTTTAGCTTGTATTCTGTCTTTTTTAAGCTAGTATTCTGTTATTTTAGCTTGTATTATATTATTTAAGCTTGTGTTCTATTAATTTTAGCTTGTGTTCTGTTATTTTAGCTTATGTTATGTCTTATTTTAGCTTGTATCCTGTTGTTTTAGCTTTAGCTTTTTTTATGTTTTCTTGTTTTAATGTGTTCTGCTCTTTTCAGCTATTGTTGTTTTAGCTTGTGTTCTTGTATTTTTGGGTTCTATTAATTTTAGCCTGTGTTCTGTAATTTTAGCTTGCATTTCATTTATTTTAGCTTGTGCGCTGTTTGTTTTAACTTCAACAATTCTGTTTTAGCTTCTTCAGCAGATTTCAGCTCTCAAACATGCATTTCGTTGTGTTTCTGTTGGTTTGCTCAGTGAATTAGTAGTTTAAGGAATAACAGTTTTAATAAGTATTTCATGTCTTGTATGTGTGCTTAGTGCCACTCCGCGCTGTGTGCGTATGCGTGTCATGTGTTGACTTTGTAAAACTTTGGTAAATGTGTAAATTGTGTTTTTGAACACGTGAAGCAGCTCAGCTGACAGCAGCATGAACTCTGAAACCCTCAGGCTGCTGCAGCATCGTCAGAAACAAACAGGAAAGAAAAGAAAAAACTAAAAGTCACACACAAACTCCTTCCTAAGTTCTCCTTTGATTTCATTTTTATTCAATTTGCTTCAAAAAATGCAAAATAAATGTTGAAAAATACGTTTTCACGCGGTTGCTTCTCTTGTGGCCCTAAACAAAACCATCAGATTTGCACCAACGAACACGTAAAAAGCTTCAATTAAACCTAAACATGCCTGAAAATAAGATTTTCTCAGAATATCTGTTTTTCTGTCCATCTACATAAAAGCACCAGTTTGTTTTCCACAGATCAAGGCCCAGATGACCTGCAGATAAAACAACCAGCCAGCAGGGGGCAGCAGATGTTCATTAGCTCTGACAGATGTGAGTCTTTTCTAGATTTTGTGTTTATTGTGTGAATGTTTATGAAGCATTCACTCTATTGTGATCCATTTTTCTTCCGTGCGTTTTTCAGCACATTTCTCGTTCCAAAATTTTTGTACTATTTCAACAAATCAAATATCAAAACGTTCAGCTCGTTCAGGAGAAAGCTGCTATGACTTTCGGTATTGGTGCAAGTTTGGCTTTTTGAAATATTTAGCTTGTTCTGCCACTTTTTTTCTCATATAAAATGAATTGAGCTCATCCTTCATATCTTTAGATCTGTTTACAACCAGTTACTGCTCCTTTCACATTTTGTTCTGTTCAGCTTCTTTCAGCTTCTTATGCAATTTTAAACTTTTTCAGCTAATTTCAGCTGTTTTGTGCTCCTTTCTGATTCTTTCTGCTAACTACAACATTTTTGTGCTTCTTCTAACTTCTTTTTGCTAATTTCAGCTTGTTATGCTCCTTTCAGCTTACTTTTTCAAAATTTTCAGCTTTTTCTGCTATTTCAGCTACTAGCTGTTTTTTGCTAATTTTAACTTTTTCAGTTAATTCTGCATTTCTTTGCACTAATTTCTACTTTTTTCAGCCTAATTAATCAAAAAATGTGCTCTCTCCACTTCCTTCTGGTAAATTAAGCTACTTTCTGCTTTTTAGCTACTTTTCAGTGCTAATTTCAGCTTTTTTTCATGTAATTGAGCAAACGTGTTCTTTCTGCTTTCTTGTGCTAATTTAAGCTTGTTCTACCTTTTCAGCTGGTTTTTTTTTGCATATTTTAGCTAATGTCAGCTGTTTTCAGATAAATTCAAGTTTTTCATAGTAATTTCTGCTTTTCTTTCAGCCTCATTAAATTATTTATGCTAATTTAAACTTGCTTTGCTCCTTTCAGCTTATTTCTGCTAATTTCAATTATTTCAGCTACAATTCAGCTGTTTTCATGTTCAAGGTTTTTTATTGTCATTAGCATCATGTGGTACATGAGGTGGAACAAAATTATATACTCAAAGTCCCAGTTACACCCAAAGTTAAACTTTTTAGCTAATATTAGCTTTTTCAGCTAATTGCACATTTTTTGCACTCATTTCAACTTTTGCGTTCTTTCTGCTTTCTCCTGCTGATTTACACTTGTTCTACATTTTCAGCTACATTAGCATGTTTTTTGCCAACTTCAGCTGTTTTTTAAGCCAATTTCAGCTGTTTTTCAGCTATTTCTTCAGCAATTAGCATACTGCATTTTTGCAGGAAATGCAAATTCTCTAGTTATTTTAGATTTTAGATCTTTGTTGCTTGTTTCTGATTGTTTGTGTGTGTGTGTGTTTGTGTGTGTGTGTTTTCGCTCAGCCAGCTCTTCTCCTCAGGTCCTCAACTGCTCCTCATCAGTCTCAGCTGTTTCCACTCAATGTCACTCCTCGATTCGTTCATCCTCTGGACTTGCCGTCACTCTTCAGTCTGCCATTGTGCTTCGTCCCTGTTCCAGTTCCTCTCAGCGTCTCCTCGAGTTACTTCTCGGTTTCCTGGGTCCTACTTCAGACCAATCACTAAAGTAAGTAAAGTAGCTGAAGTGACTGAAAACAGGTCAAATTGTAAACTTGGGTTTGGCAGAAATTCTGCAACAGCCACAGCTGAACGCCAAGTTGTGTCTTTGTGGTGCTCCACCTCTGCTCGATCCCTCATATTTATCCAGGACTCGTTCTCTCTCTTTCCTTTCACCTTCTTTATCGGCAGATTCACGCTTATATTTCTACCTAAACAACGTCTCTTCTTGAGTTGCGCAACTCAAGCTTCTTCTTGGCAGCGGTACACTTTGTTTACGTTGAGTGCGTACCCACGTTTCAGAACTGCGTCCCAGTATATCTGAAAAACCGCAAGAGCAAACACTCTCAAACCGCTCCACTTAACACAGTTAAGGGTTACGTTTCACGACATCTAGATGAAAATTAAAATCGTGATAGAAACCTCTTTACAGGGACAGAATCATTCGCTCATACGAGGAGATCTCCTCGCCTCCTGACGGTAGCAAAATATGTCACGAAGCACTAAAATGATTTTAATGAAACTATCAGAAAGTAAATAGCTGAACATCTGCAGAACAATCCACTACATGAATGAACAGCCTAAAAATGCTTAATTTTTTTTCTTCACAATCAACTAGTTCATGATTACTACGCCCAAAATGGATTTGAGTTATTAAAAAAATAGGACGATGTTTTAAAATTCCAGTCTGAAGTTTCGGGAAGACCATCCAGTGCAAAAGTTTAGCACCACTTAAAGAGCTAAAATAAAAACCAAAAGCAAATGGATATAGTTTTAAAAATACATAAAGTAACGCGTTAAATATAACCATGGGATACGAACATGCATTTATAATGGATTTCAATGTGGTGAATTTTTCCACAAATGAACACTAGAGGGCAGTGCAGTTACTGTGGGTTTACACGTTTGAAAGAATTCTTACAAAATAAAAGCACATCTAAAGATTTTTAGTAGGAATGCACGATATTGAATTTTTGTCCGATATCCAATATGCCGATATGTTAAAATTTATTTGGCCGATAACCGATACCGATATTTTTAATATACTTTCCTTTGTCAGAACATAGCCCTCTTATTTTACTTATTTACTACAAAGAGTGTGTAACAGCTGTAAGAGCTGGTGACATATATTCAGTAACAGCACTTTAACTTATCTTAAATGAAAAGTATTAAATGTTATTTATCAGCATTAGTCACCTGCGATGCTGTCTCACTTGTGGAGGCTTGTTCCAGGTTCCTAGCTGCAGTGTGGGATCCTCTGCACTCCTGTGCATGAAGGACAGACTTTTTAAGTTCAACGTTTTTGTCTATCCATTGTGCCGTAAGGCTAATCATGCTAACGGGGCTAACACCTGACGTCCAAATGTCTGTGGTAAAACTCACCCAAGTGCTATCGGCTATTAGCTTCTAAATGACGTCGGAAATGACGGCTTTCAACTCGGGTGAGGTTACATCGGAAAAATATCTCCGACGGGACGATGTAGTGAAGCTCAATTTAGTCCAAAAATGTTCGAAAACTGACATCCTCAACGAAAAAAAATGTCCACACCGCCGACATTTTGACTTCTTCCTCTCCGCCGTGATCGGATCAGGTAGGCGGTGTGACGTCGTCACGTTGTGCTGGCGCTGCAGGCATCCTTGTCACTGGGCTGTCACACAAAAACAGCGTCTTTTATATCGGTTAGTTATTTTGATGGAATGGCCGATGTCCGATATTTAACTTTAACGCTAATATCGGTCGATACCGATACTATGCCGATAATATCGTGCATCCCAATTATTATTATTTTTTTTTTCATTTTTACATGTACCGAGCTTAATTTGAGGTGGTAGTAGCTTAAACGGCTGTGGCGCCATCAAGCCTCACCATGAGATGATCGTGGTCTAAGACTCTGGCATGAAAATGGCCACCTAAAAAGAAGGTGGGCGAGTTTGGTGTCGGCTCATTTCACTTGTTGCTGCCAGACTCATAAGTTAGAGCAGGAAAGACACTGGACCCCTGTCTCATCTCTGTACAGAAGTCAGGGGAAAGAAAAGAAATGAAACAAAACAAACTTCTCACTGTTGCCAGAACTCATCCAGAAAGCCCCGGAGGGGTCTGGACTTAACGTGAGCACAAAGGGCCCGGTTATATTTCACCGCAGGACGGTCTTTGTGGATCCGCTAATGTGAGGCCGTGTCTGCTCCTCGCTCAACCAGCTCGTCTCCTATAAGCTGACAAGCAGGTCTTATTTAGGGAGAAGCTGGAAAAGATCCACTGTGGGGGTTTGGGGCTGAGATTGATTTTGAGAGAGCTCCATCAGAGCACATTTCTCACAGTGAGAGCCGGGCTTTCTGGGAAGGAAAGGGAGGGGATGGAGGGGTCTTTTCAGCTCTTTTTAGAGGCAACAATAGTCTTTGTCGAAGATCTTCTACCATTCTTATTAGGAGAGGAGGAGGAGGAGAAGGGAGGGAGGTTCTCCATAGTAACAATGACTAAACAAGCCAGGAAGGTGAAAGAAACCAGATGGAAGAGGAGCCCTGAGAAGGAGCAGGAGGTTTTTTTGTATTTATTTTCCCCCCGAGGAGAAGAAAAGTTCATCAGGGAAAGTTGAGTCGGTGGCACATATTTCACGGCCTCCCCAACATGGACCGAGACAGTCACAGCGAGGACACGCTGTCCACGATGGTCCTGGAGAACATAAAGAACAAACTGATCCGCGCCTTCAGAGCCACGGCCGAGTCCAGAGGAGAACATGAGGACTGCAGCGTGGACAGGAGTCAGCAGGCCAACGAAGAGCTGCGGCGGGCGCAGATCGATGGAGCACTGACCTGGCTGAGATCAGAACTGGTGAGATCCACTCGATCGACGTCTTTTACACTCGTCTCGTTCAGTGACGCTCCTCTAAGTACGTCCCCATCATCGAACGAGCTGGGACTTCAAGTAAAGTGTCCATTAAATCAGAACGCATCTAATGAGCTTATATTTTATTCACACATAAACAGGTTGGACCAGACCTTTGTTTTGTAGCTCTTTGAATTCCCTCTTCTTTAACAACAGTTTGTAAAGGTTTAGGACCTGAGGAGAACGGCTGCTGGACATTTTCGAGGAGAATGTCGTCGTTCTCGTGCGATGAAGGATTCTAGTTGTTCAACAGAGCTGTGTCAGCTTTGCTGGATTTTCTGCTGGGTGGTAGCAGATGTTCTAAAACCTGTGCATACGTTTCTGCATCGATGTGTAAGCTGCCCATGCTGGCAACACTAATGCACACCCATACCATCAGAGAGGCAAGCTTTTGAGCTGTGCAGTGAGAACAGGCTGGTTGGTCCCGCTCATTGTTAGCACAGACATTGTGGTTTCCAAAAATAATTTTGAGTTTTGATTCATGTGACCGCAGAACAGATTTACAGTTTTCCTGAGTCCGTTTTAAAAAGTGTCGGTTCAGAGACGACAGCGGCGTTTGTTGACAGCACATCCAGCTGTGTTTACAGAAAGTGATTTGTGGTGGAGATCCTGAGTCCATGCAGTGATGTCAGGGCTGGATAAGACCTGTTTTTAATGCAGGACCTCCCATAGATCATACAGATTCCTGAAATCTGTTGATGATGTTAAGAACTATATATGATGGGATCTTCAGAGTCTTCACAATTTTTTATTATTAAGGAGCATTTTTTTTAAAGTTCTATCTTTATACA